GCAAGGAAGACAGTTGAGGCGGGGCTTGGAAACGTTACACTTCTTGTGTAATAACGGCTTTAGGGTGGGGATGCTCGAAGTAAATAATTTCCCTACTAGCTCGCAGCAAGTCTAGGAGCCTAAACCCCAAACCCTAAACCTAAACCCCTAAACCCTAAACCCAAACCCCAAACCCCAAACCCCAGGGCTGGGGTCAAGTCTGGGCTTTGCTGGGCACTCCAAGAGGATGGGAGATGCGGGAATGAAATGGGTTCGGGGCGGAGTGACGGTTGTAAGACTCTAAGGGTCCAAGGACCCAAATAATAGGGTCCCTTTAACGGGGTTATAGGGGGATATATAGGGATTATAAGGGTCCAAGGACCCAAGTAATAGGGTTTTAGGGCCCAGATACTATAGTATTGATGGTATTTGGGCCCTAAAACCCTATAATTAGGGTCCTGAGACCCTTAGGGAGACTTTTCACGGAACCATAAGGGCCCATGTACATGATAGGGCTCGTGTACCCAATACTTGGGTACTGGGAACTGCGGTAGCAATGATTTTGGAGCACTTTATTGAGCTCTTGGACGCTTAACAAACAGGTACCTGGTCATGGTCAGGCAGGTGGGAGGCACCCTCGTGTAAAGGGTACAGCCCAGAATCATCCCTAAACCCAAAACCCTAAGCCCTAAACCCAGTCATTTACTCTGCAAAGCTCTAAAAATACTTGCCAGCCCGGTAGAGGCTTTGTGAAGGAACTACCAAGCCTTGAATCCCAAACCCTCTGTTCCAAACCCAAGAATTCTGACTCGAGCTATTGTGACCGAGGTCCTCTTAGACGCCTGTAAGACCCACGCGGAGCACAAACATTCTGGTTGCGGAGACACTCGTCTCAAAAAAGGTTTGCGCTTGCTCGGCTTGAAGGTATGTATATCGGGTGTCAAGTAGGGATTTCATTTTTGGGGGCTGTGGTGTAGGGATGCAGGCGATCAGTGCACTTGAAATCCACGACTCCCTTCCTGGCTGTGGGTATAACATGATGGGTACGTTGTCTTGCGTGTAGGGCCGGGATTGGCCCCTATTTTCTATTCGCCCCGCATAAGCCTACACCCTAGAATCTGAACCCCCTACCCGAGGGGTCCATACTTGGGTGGGACCCGCTAGAGCCTGAAGTATACACTGCACACCTACATGCAATCTTTGGGCTATGTAAAGCCTACATGAGGGCCTTAAGGGTTTAAAGCTGGCGACACCCCTTCCCGGAAATCTCCTGAACAAGCATTTCGAAACTTACAGAGAAGGGAGTTGGGGGTTCAGGGTGGCAATTACGAATCTGAAGGCCCAAGTCTTACACTTTAATTCTTTAGCCCGAACCTTACACACCAGGAGCCATAGACAAAACCTTAAGCCCTCTAGACCCTAGATCTTACATCTGACTCAGCTAAGCCTCCACCGTTCCTTCCCGAGCCTTGACTTTCAAGCACCCCATAGTCAACCCCTACCATCACATATTGTACATCATTTGAGCTATAGTCTAAACTCCTTAAAGGGGGATATATAGGGGATTATATAGGGGACTACTATAGGGGATATTAGGGGGGGATACTAGGAGTTTAGACAATGGCTCATTTCTTCCTCATGAAGCTTTGATTTGGAGGGACCTTCCTGACTCACCATTATTGGGGTAATATCCCAACACCCGGAATAATCCCGAAACCCTAAAACCATATACCTAAAAGCTCAAATTCCTAAGACCCTACAACTCCAAGACCCTAAAACCTTAAACCCTGAAAGCCCCAAACCCCTAGGACCCCAAAGCCCTAAGACCATAAAACCCTGAAACCCTAAAAGCCTAATCCCTAAAACCCTAAAACCCTAAACCCTAAAACCCTAGACCCCTTAAACCCCTTAAACCCCTAAACCCCCTAAACTCCCTAAACCCCTAAACCCCTAGAGGACTGCGCCCTCAACGGCCTTCTTCACGACATGAGCTCCGTGATAGATCAGGCCGCTGAGCTGGTGGGGGCCTCAGTCTCCCTAGGGATCCAGGTGAGCTATAGCCTAAACTCCTTAAAGGGGGGTTATATAGGGGATTATATAGGTGACGATTATAGGGGTTATTAAGGGGGATACTAGGAGTTTAGACTAGGGATCCATGTATACAACTATTACCTACATTGGGTCCTAAAGTCTGTAAATATTACCCACATTGGGCTATTTGGATCCTTAGGGTCTGTTTTGGGGACTTCCAGGGTTTTGGGTCCAGGGTTTAGGGTTTAGGCTTCAGGGTTCAGGGTTTAGGCTTCAGGGTTTAAGGTTTCTGGTTTAGGGTTCAGGGTTTGGGGTTTAGGGTTCAGAGGTTACCCTGGGGATCCAAGTATGTCAACAGTGTCTACTTTAGGCCCTAAAAATCTGTACACTCCCCCAAACTAACATGGAAACCCATATAGCCCCATTTTAGAGGGACTGTAATCTTTAAAGGGCCCCTTTTGGGTTTCCATGTTAGTTTCCAGGAGTGTAAGTCTTGCCTACTTTGGACTGGTTGGATCCCTAGAGTTGGGGGGATTAGGCATTGGAGTTGTTTGAGCTTTAGGACTTAGGAATCAGGGATGGGGGTGCGGAGTTAGGGTTTGGGGTTTAACCCTAAGGGTCCAAGTACCTAATAATTATATACTTACCCAAAACCTGTATTATAATTACTATTACCCAAAGCCCAAGTCCTTAATTATTGGGTACNNNTACTTGGACCCTCTGGGTAAGGTGTTTGAACTTTGGGATTAGGTAACCCGAAACCATGGCACTTCCTGAGCCTGGACCTCACCCCATCACCCTGCAAGACGCCTGAAACCCTGCAGGATGCTTGGCTTTAAGGGTTTAAGGTTTAAGGTTT